AAAAGGACAGGGTTTTGTGCCAAAACATGTTCTCACTACTGAAGCATCACCAGCTGAAACCAGCACTTTATTTGGTCTTGAGGTGGACTTTTTATCCCAAGTTCTGTTCTTTCTTTACAAATGTCACAAAACCACTTATAACAGGGCTTCAAATACCAGCCACCGCACCGAAGCCTTGCTAACGCTGGCAGCCCTGCCACTGGGGATGGACCAGCGGTAAGGGCAACCAAAATATTTTCCAAAAAGCCAAACCCCACACAAGCAGGCTGGGGATGCTGTTGAGCCCAGCAGGGGCTGCCCCCGGCCCCTGTGTGTCCCCAAGCCCCAAAAAGCACTCACGGCTGCTCCATCCACGGCTCCCGGCTCGCAGCAGTAATGTCGGACACGGCCGCGACTTTGTTGAGCTGGATGTTTCTGAACTGTGTTCAGCCAGAACGGCCCAGAGAGGATGCTCGAGAGGCAGCGTGGCTTTAAAAAGGGGAAAATGGGGAGAGGGGAGGGAAAACAGGGGGAAAAAAAAAAAAAAAAAAAAAAAAAGGAAAAAGGGGTCAGGAGAAAAAAAGGGAAGAGAAAGGTCTTGTGTTCAGCAGGTCATGCCTACCTCTGCTGCCACAACCTGCTTCGGGTATTTCTTCTCTCCTCCACTGAATTACGCTGCACTCTGCAAGTCCCTTAGAAAATGCCCTGGACCACGACCTGGACTGGCACAACAGCAGAAATACTGAACAAAATTCAAGTCAGAGACAGTCAGGACATTTTTTCTCTTTTCCCTTTACTACTCTGGATAAGAAGAAACTGTTGGCACCTACCAGCAGACCTATAATCCACGAATTTAATCTACAGCAGCGTGCAGAGAAATCCATATATGAAGGACAGTTTGCTTACGCATCTCTTTCTGAAATAATGCTCTTTCACTGACTTAATCCTTTATTCTAGATTAAATTGTAAATTTCTGCAAAATAACTTCAGAATAATGTACCCGGATTTGTCAGCAGCATAAATCATAATGCATGCCATCATTCCTAATGCCTACACGGAAAAGTCAATAAAATGTGGGGAAAAAAAGAAAGTTTCCTTTGTACTTGACAGCCCCAGTCGTATCGTGTTTAAGAACATTGCTGGTACCACTACAGCAATAAAATCACCAAACAAAGCACTTTTTTTTTTTAAAAAAAAAAAAAAAGAATTTCTTAAATGTTTGACAGCAAGGTTATTAGAAATTCACTCAAGTCTGAAAAGTTAAGATATTTTTAGGCTCAAATTCACGATTTCAGCTTTGGAACCGCAGAAAGATCAGCCACCAGGGCACACAGTGAGTGTTGCCCCACTCTGTGCCTGCACAAGGTCACCCAGATGATTCGATCCCATGGATGTGGCTGGCTGTGTGGAGAAAGGAAGTAAACGCAATTTCTCATGAAACTTGCTTCCAGGCTTGGGTCCTCTTGAGTGTTACTAACAAAGAAATAGTCAGACAATTTAATCAAAAATGGAGGAAATCCTAACCTGTGACAGATCAGCTCTAAAACCACACGCTGCTACAAGGACACACTTTGCCGTTCTTTTTAAGCCGTCAGAATTTTCTTCGTGAGACAGATTTTCTCAGTGTCAGACTTGACACAGAGAGACTTTCATTTTTCAGAGCTACAAGGAACTTGACACGTCAACCTACTGCCGTTAATAGCATTTTAATCTTTATGCATAATAACCAAAAACCTGCATTGTAGAGGTTTGATAATAATAACTGACACTAGCTGTATTCGAAGTATACATTTCTATCCAAAATAGATGCGCATGTAGGTGGGTGCGTTGTAGAAATATAATACACTACATGGCTGAGCCTAGATAAGCTGGTGATTCTCAAACGTCAGCATCATCTGAACAAAGTTAGGGTTGAAATCTGCTCTCCTAAATACCTGTTCATCCTTCTTATGACACTGATTCTAAAGAGCTCAGTGACTAGTAGATAAAATAAGTATCTAATGAGGTATGACAGAAACTCTGATGGAGCTGAACAGCAGAGATCTAAATACTAATAAATAAATGAAGTAAAAAATTTACTGCCAGCAACTATGTCAAGTTAGCCATAGGAAACTGTAGCTCTGCAGCTGGAGAAAGGCAATACTCGGCAAGCCAGAGAAGCAGTGGAAGTCATCCAGCTTTCATTATTTATGGTGTGATGATGAAGGAACAACTTTCCATGTGAGGAACAGCTTTAAAGTTGACCAGGGAAGCTGAAACAGAGATTTAATGAAAAATCAGAGGGGAACAAAACTACAGCTAAAAAAACAACAACATTCGTTTTAACAATTTAAAAATATAATTTACGTGCAAAACCAGATGTTAACTTGTCCCACTTCAAGGTAAACAGCAAACTGTACTCATGACAACCATCCAGCTGAACTGCAAACTTGTGCTATTTCATGTTGCTGTAAATAAGGCTCACTTCATACCTCCAAACGCTATCAAAACCAACACAAATTCAAAACAAACACTTCTCAAACAAAGGACAGCTTTGCATTAAATGCAGATGTATTTTCAAAAAATCCCAACCTTTCATGATCTACCATAATCATAATAGGCTGAAACTTAAGAATGCTTTCAGGCTCAGGAAAAAAAAAAATAAAAAAAAAAAATAAAAAAAAAAGTGCTTCTAATTTTAAACATTTACAAGAACACTGAGAAACAGCTTAGAACCGTGCTTTAAAATGTGTTTTTCAGGCTTTAAATTGCTGAAAGCTGAGACCCGTTTACCCATTTGGCCTGGACTAGAGAAAGGAAGAGAAGCTCAAGAATTTGATGAAAGGGAAGCACTTCAAGTACATGAGAATTTCCAGTTTAAAAAAAGCAACCTGCTCCCTCATCCCAAACCTCCCCCATCAGCACTGCAACCCCCTCTTCAACGTGCAATGCGAGCCGTGAGACTCCTCCTGGTCGAAAACCCCCACAAAACAACTCATTCACTTCACTGGCTCTACAGAATGCACTATTTTTAACAAATACTTTTGGAAAATATTTTGGAAGCACTGCTTGGCCATCGTTTGTGCTGTTCCTGAACAGGAGGAGCTCGGTGGCAGAGCTGCATTCATTTCAGCTCGTTTTAAACTACACTGAGGAACAGGTACTGTTGCAGAAAAGGTGACTTAAGGTCTGCTTTAAATGACAAGCACAACCAAGCCTTTTTAATGGGTTTTGCCCAACTCTAAAAATGCATCCTTGTATGCTGGGAATGAATCTCCCTTTGCTTCGGTGTTAACTATGGGAAGGAGGGACTGTTCTCATTGCTGTTTCACAGAAATCAGCAAGCTCTTTGATTTTGAAGGTTAAGGGATTAAGTTGGGAGAAACAATGAACACAACACACTCCTAAATATAAATACTCTCTGCTACATTAAATACCGTCTCGATTTCATATGAAACACTGACTTTAAAATTAGCTATTCCTTTCCAGATATGATGTATCTTCCACCTAACTGGTGAGGAAAACTAAATTTCAATACATTGTAGGCAGTGAGAGATGGGTGTCACGCAAGCATAAGAACAAGCGATGTTTTAAAGTAGGTCTGTATACAAAGCAATATCCTAAAGCAATGAAAAAACAAAACAGAACAAAACAGCACAATTGTGTATTTATAAGAACAGATAGTAAGAAGGAGGTTGTAAAAATCAACAGGGACTCTCCCACTTCCCCAGGCAGCCCAACCCATGAGGATTTTCCTTTTGTCTTTTACTTTGCTCAGCTCATCTTGTAGTTCAACACCAGGCAAAGCACCATGCCACAAGAAATGACATCCAAAGCTTTCAGCTTGTCAAAGCTGCCTTTACTGTTTAAAAACAAAACACATACACAAAATATCTCAACAGCTTCTGGAATCCCACCTGAAGTACCCAACGTTTGTAGATCTCTGCCTATGTTCTCACCAACACAATTTTTACAAAAGCGAGGCCACTTTGGGCATTTTAGGCAGGATGCTTTCATCCCTCAGTTACAGTTTGACCCCAAGATGAAACAAATGGAGTAGTAGTTTAGAAACAGCATTGGTGTACTTTCAGTTTGCCCAGATATTCCCTGATTTCTGCTGATTTTCAGTTCACAGAACCACAACTGGCCGAGGCTGGCAGGGAGCTCTGGGCCCAGCAGGCCCAACCCCTGCTCACGCAGGGCCACCAGGAGCAAGGAGCCCAGGGCCATGGCCAGGGGGCTCCTGAAGGTCTCTGAGGAGACTCCACTGCCTCTCTGGGCAGCCTGTGCCAGGACTCAGTCAGCCTCGATGTAAAAAACTGTTTCCTGATGTTCAGAGGGACCCTCCTGCATTTCAGTTTGTGCCCATCGCCTCCTGGCCTGTCACTGGGCAGTACTAAGAGCCCAGCTCTGGCTTCTCCACACCCGCCCTCCACGTATTTATACATGTAGATGTTGATAGGATCCCACCAGAGCCTTTTCTCTTGGCTAACTACTTCCAGCTCTCTCACCTTTTCCTCATACGAGAGACTCTCCAGTCACTTCATCATTTTTGTGGCCCTTTGTTGGATTTCCTCCAGTTCATCCATGTCTTTGTGCTGGCAGGCCCATGAACTGGACCCAGCACTCCAGGTGCAGCCCCATCAGCGCAGAGCAGAGGGAAAGGATCCCCTCCCTCCACCAGCCCTCAATAACCACTGACCTTCTTTGTGGCAGGGGCACGCTGCTGACTCCTGATCAACCTGGTGTCCACCAGGACCCCCCTCAGGTCCTTTTCTACAGTGCCCCTTCCCAGCTGGGAGGCCCTCAGCACGTCCTGGTGCCTGGTGTTGTTCCTCCTCAGGTGCAGGGCTTCACACATCTCCTTGCTGAGGTTTCTGCCAGACCATCCCTCCAGCCTGTCGAGGTCCCTCTGGGTGGTAGCACAGCTCTCTCCCCTAGTTTTGTGCCATCTGCCAGTCTGCTCAGGATAACCTCCCACACTGTCCCCATTACCACTTCCAAAATCATTCAGATGCACATACGGATTTAAGTAACAGCACTTTAAACACAAATTTCAAACGAAATTTAATGGCTTCAATGAACTTTTCACAAAAAAATGAGCTCCAGAACTCCATCTCCTTACAGCCTCAACTGAAACTGCCCCCTTGGGGATGTGCTGAGATGGTCCATTAGGGGGAACAGCACATCCACTACAGGTGTGTATCCCAGTAAGGTAAATGCTACTGGCTCCTAATATTGGAAGGTGAAGGTGCTGCAGGCCAATCCTACAATACGGTAAATGTGGCAACACAAGTGAAAAAAGCTCATTAGCTGTACCATAGACTCAGAAGCTGGGGAACAATCTTCCTTTGAAGCCAAAGCCAACTGCATAGGTACAAAAGAGATATACCGAGAGTGTTAAAGGAAAGAGCCAAAGGTGTTTGCGCTGCTGTCACAGGAGGTGCAAGGAAAATGCTTAAAGTTCAATGTGAATCATGCAACCTATTGCAGAATGTCAAACTTCCCTGAAGTAACAAACTCAGCTTATTTTTAGAACAACCTCTTTTCTTTCTTTTTTTCTTCTTTTTTTTTTTTTTTCCATAAAGCAGTCAGGCTTTGAGGGTTCCATCTTCACAGGTAGTGACTAACTCTTGTCTTCAATCCAAAGGGCTACAGGCAAAAAAATACATGTAGATTTTTCACTTTAAAGTCCAGAGATCCCTGCTGTTGTAAGGACAGAATATAACTCCTAAAGACCTGGTGGCTGAAAAGACTGAAATCAAGAAAACAAGATTTAAAAGCTTTTAAATTATAGATAGTAAAGCTCCTGAATGCAGGCTGCATATATGCACCTTCAAATGATCTACCAAATTGTACAGAAATACCAATTTAGCATAAAATCTGGAAGCACAGTTGGGACTGAAATTACACTTTTAGTCTGGTTTGCCATTTTATTCAAGATCGGGATTACTTCAAATAAACTGATTTATTTCTGCATAACATACAGTGTAAGGTAGTTGGAGTATCTTCTTAATTTTAACCATTAGCAATGAGTATTTGCTGTTGCTAAGTTCCTCATACGTGAATATTAAATGTAGTATTTCATAACCAGCCTGCATGTACCCACCTGGAAAGACAGTGGATGAATACATTTTCTATTCAACAAAACAAAGGTGAGCAAAGATTGCAACTGCTAACCAAACAAAACACAATACCAAACAAACCTCTGAAGTAGTACATCTCACGAGTCAGTTTAGCAATACAGCACAGTAGAACTGCACTTCAGTATTAACCATTATTGGAAAGTTCAATAATTCCTTGTTTTGAGACCAAACTAAAGATTGTCCATAAAACAGAAGGGTCTTCACAGTTATGATGACTCTGCCAATGATTACAAAGATCCTCCTTCCTTCCAAATAACTGTTTGCACAAAATGCAGTTATATCCAGCTTTAGACCAAATTTCAATCTTTTTGCTTGGTGAACCAGAACCAACATTTTGCATCTCCTTGGCTGCTTCACTGCTTCCTGACTGAGTCACTTCACTTTTAGATAACATATCAACATTATTCTGATGGTGAAAGTGTATCTGTCTTTTCAGTTTTGGCAAAGCATAAAACTCCTCCTCACAGGCACTGCATTTTGCTGTGTGTCTTCTCTCGTTGCGCTGTTTCCAGAGGTGTGTTGCATGTTTGATGAGTTCCCCCCTAGCTCCTTTACTTCCTTGCAAAACCCCTTCCTTCACTCTTCCCTGGATCTCTTCTCCATGAGAGCACAGTAAATGAAACTTCATTTCAGCAAAAGACTGTGCGATGAACTGGCACCGACCACATCTGATCTGCAATTTAACCTCTCCAGGATTATGGAACAGGTCTTCCAAATCGCACTTGTTTCCCCTGTTAAAAACAAAAAACAAAAACCAAACAATTTCAGCATTAGCCATACACGAAAGAGCTGATAGTTTCTGTCCATGCAAGTTCCAAGAAGAGGTGACATCCACGAAACAGTCTTTTGATTAAAAACAGGCACTGTTGCTACAGTATCCAATTTATTAGGAACAGATAAAGAAAGAAATAAAATACTAATAAGGTTGATTAGGGAACAACTGAAGCCGAATGATATTTGACACTGCTGAGTTCAGGAATTGCCTCTAAAATGGCAAAATAATCTCTGTAAAAATAATCTTTTATGACACTAACCTTTAAAAAATTGTTATTCACCTTTTATTAAAAGTTCAAGACTTAGTGAGGTCAATCCAAATACGACTAGCTCTGTGCTAGAAAAGTACAAATGAGTATTACCAGCAGCTGACTACTCACAGAAACTAACTTGCTTGTACTGATCGATCTGAAGTCAATGTAAGTCAAAACCACGGGTCCCACTTCCCACTCAGAGATGGAAGCAATGAAACTTCAGAGCTTCTTTTTTTTCTTTTTTTTTTAACCTAAAAGTTTGCATCACTGTTTAAAAAAGTTTAAATAGGTCATTTACAACTGGACAGTCCCTCTGACTGATTCAGGAGAGCTCTGCAGTGTAAAGGAAACAGACATGTAAAAGCTACCACATTCCTTCTTTAAGTTAAGGCAAGCAAAACCAAACAAAACCAAACAACACAAAAACCTTCTCATGAAGTCTAGGGAAAGGGCCACATATTGCTATTTATTAATACACATTTGTTAATACACATATATCAATATACATTTGACAGATTACCCAAGAAAACAGATATACTAAATTATTCATTGTATGACAACTCATAAGGCTGACAGAAAAGCACTGGTATTTCTTAGGTTCAGTATGTGAAAAATTTTCCAACTGATGTCCCAAAGAGTGGAACTATCAAAGCAAAACACGTCTGGTCTGGTACTGAGGCATCAGGTTAAAGCACTGGGCTTAATAAAGTAATTCTAATAAAGTGTACTTCAATTAAAGTAAATGCACAGTGGGGCAAACAAAAAAGCTAACATTTATACTGTGCCAAGAAAATTCACCTCGAATTCATAATGCAGAAATAAAATAATGCCCTATCCATCTCAATATGGTATATGCTAACTTTTTTTACTTGGCAAAGTGATTGCAGAAGCAGAGGTAACCAAGGCACAAGACAGATTAGCTCACGGCACTCCAGAGAAGGAAATGGGATAATGATATTTAATAGTGTAAACAAACTACAAGCTAATACTGGAATATGAATTGCTTTTCACTTATTGCAGTTGGTTTACTTATCTTCTGGGGAAAAAAATCACAAAATGGGTAGAGGTTCAAGATAGAGCAGATTAACAAAAACAAAACAGAACTGATTAAAATAGCTCTACTGGTGGTTTGGGTATTACTAGAATATATGCAAAATTGCTTTGGACATGCCAGTGTCAGTAATAATTTGTATCTTACAAATCAGCTGAAATATATTTTGGATTTGGAATTTTGATTGGATTCCACAAGAGACTATTTAAACCATTAGGAATCTCACTTGGGGAAGAAAACAAAAGCAAAACAAAACAAAAAAAAACCAAAAAAAAAAAAAGAGATGAAAAATCAACAGTTTCATTGTGGTGATGCTTATGAATTTCCACTGGTAATCTGAAATCCCATTTTTATTAGCACTTAATCAGTGTCAGCACTCACCTCTCTGTTGCTTCTTCTGCCTCTTTTATGTTTGTGTCTCTGCTCCTCAGAGCATCTTGCAGCTGCTGCTCACTACTGGAGGGCTCGGTACTGATAACAACCCTGTGCACTTCCCTTAGGTGACCAAAATAGACTTTTGCATGGCCGAAAACTTTAGCACAGAATTCGCAGCACACAAGCTTTTTGGGTTTGCCTTCGTTGTGGTGAAGCTTCATGTGCGTGCTCAGGCTCCCGGAATGAATGTACGCCTTCCGACAGATCCGGCAGCTGTACGGCCGCTTGTTCGTGTGCGTGTTCATGTGGTCCTGGAGGTGGTGTTTGAACTGGAAGTGATGGTTACAAACCTGGCATTTATGCCACGGCTTAGGCACAGCTGAGTACGCGTTTCTGCCTAAATCAATAGATTTAACCGACGGAGTGTCATTATGCTTGTAGCTTAAATATTTACTGGCAAGCGAGCTGCTTAAAACAAGATCTTGCCCTAAACAGTCGGGAGACTTTGCCTCTATGACAGCTGCAGAGGTCAGCGGTGCGATAGCCTGCACAACCACCACTGGTTTGGGTCTAATACTACGGTATCTTTTCACCGCCTCCGCTTTTTTGTCTTCAGGTGGCTGCAGATCAGCTTTCACCCTCTCTCTTCCTTCTCGAAATTTATTAACGATGCATTTCCTTCGCTTGCTCTGGAAAGCCAATAAATCATCCGGGGCTCTTCTCTTCCTGCCTCTTCTTTTCGAGGGTGTACCATTCAATTTTTTAAGGCTGTCAACATCCACTTTATTGGATGGAGAGAACGTATTTTCTCGAATGGTTTGTTTGGGGGCTTGTGTAAATGGTACAGCTAATCGTTTATCAGGTCCTTTAGAAGGAACATGAAAGGCTTTCACCGAAGCTGGTGTCTTTTCACAGTCAGATCTTATCGAAGGGCCGGATACATTCATAACAGCAGTACTCTGCTTAGATTTACAGAACACTGAATTTTTCATCCTTGAGTAAGGCAAAATAGGAAGTTTTTCTTTTGGTGTTGATGGAGCCATCTGTATCGGACTGCCAAAAACTGCCGGTGAAAGGACAGTAACAGGATTTTCAGAATTTGTGGGTTTTTCCTTCAGTTTCTCAGCCATAACGAATGACTCCCTTGTGGTTTCAAGTGCCGTCTTCACAGAGTGCAGACTAAGTTTCATGGGATTACTTGAACTCGCTGGCTTGTTCGAAGAGTCTTTAACTATAGATGGTCCAGAAACATTCCTGACAGCAGTTTTTGTTTTGCTCACCGAAGGAAATCCAGATTCCACGGAATTATTTTCACTTCGTAAGGTGGCAGCTGTCATTTCAGATGACTCACGGTCTGATAGCATCACTTGCTCTGATGAATCTGAACTAGGACGAGTTTCAGGACAGTCTTCAGCTGGGGTAGGCATGGGGGAAGTCTGCGATGAGACCTGTGCTTTGGTAGGAATCTTGTTCTGTGTACCCAAAACAGAGATGTGAGCCGGTTTCTTGTCACTCAGCAGTTTATTTCTCACAGACTGGTACCTCGGGATAGGCAGCTTTAGGTTTTCAGAAAGGGCCATGTTTGACGGCTGCATTGGCTGCGGTACGGCAGGGGTAACGTACGGCAAGGCCAGGAGGGAGAAAGTCCCCTCGTGACCAGCAAGCTGCATGACGGCGTAGTTTTGAGCTGGCACCATCAGAGGTTTAGAACCAGCAGCTGAGATTTTTGGTGGGTTTTGTTCAGGCACAGATGACTGGAGACACGAAACCACTCCAGATGTTAAAATTTTTGGTACCATTTTGGGAGCGATGGTCCTAAACTGACTTTTCTTCTGAAAACTTTGTAGTATATCTGAAGTGGATTTGTGTTTATCTGTAATAATAAAATAATACAGACATGTAATAAAGCACATCATGTTTCGTTTTGAAAAATTACCGTAGCAAAAATAAAACGGCTTACAAAGGATAGTATTACACATAAGCTTATTAAAAATATTAAGCACCTAAATGACCGATAAATTAACTTTAGAATCGCAGAAGTCCTGTGGACAAAACAAAAATACTCCCTGAAGTGATGTGAATATACACATGGAAAAAAAAGTCTTAATCTAATTTTAAATGTATCTTCCATTCTAGATTAAAAACTACGTGACATTTCAGAATGTATGTGCTTATAAGCTGCTTCTGCCCTGGAAAATCTGAGCTAGCGCGGTGTCAGTATGCATCTGGAAGAGCTGACTGGAAATGGGCAGTATTTAAACATGTCATGATGCAGAAGTTTTCTGAGCACCTGCCTGATCACACCTTTTCACTGGCATCATGCTATCTGGCAAAGCTTCTTAAGTTTCTTAACATTTAGAATTTGTGGGTTTTATGAGATACAGACTAAAGCTTACCTGAGGAAGTTGTTAAAAAATTACTGCTATAATGCATTCATATGTGTACAAAAGGACTTAGGATTTAGCATTGCTAAAAACCCAATCACACACATTGTTCATGTTTTTATTGCACACTAGAACTATTGTTGTATTAAGTTACTTTTTTTTCTTTTTCTTGGAATATGCAATTTATCTAAGTTATAAAACAGTTCTTTGCTGTTTCTACTTGCATTGGAAAATGTCACAAATATTTGTAGCGGAAAAAAACATGAGGGTAATTAAGGAAAACAAAAACAAAAGGAAAAAGGTGTAAGATTTAATCCACACTCAGCAGCAGAGATAAATGCTAACCTTCCACACACACCGTAAAAAAGGACTTGATATACATGCATAGTTAAGCTGAACTGCTACCATATCATATAACAGCCTCATTACCCACTCTCAAATAAATTCAATTACTGATGCTTCCAGTTCTCAGAAACTGGGATAGGCTTTCTGAAAAAAACAAGAATAACCCAACAAGCTCTCTGAAAATTCATCCACATAGACCCCAGCCATAAATGCAATTTGGGAAGGCAATTTCAGGATTAAAAAATACATAAGAGAAGAACCACATGTGACTAGAATATGTCAAAATAACTGCAATGAGATAATTCCATAGAGATGTATTCCTTACTGTTTCAAAGCCTCGTATATACATGTATTTATACATTCTTCCAGACTTAAAGAGGTAACTGTGAATTAGCACCAGCACTGGAAACTCAGTGAGTTTATCTTAATACTGGCTGTTCTTTCCAGCCCTTCCACCGCTCGCAGCGCACGCTGCTGGTTACAGAGCTATCGCATTTCATGAGCACCACTCCCGGACAGACCCACGTGCGCACACATGGCGTGCACATGGGCAGTAAACCCACCGCCTCCGGGGCACGCCAGATCGCTGCACAATCCCACAAACGGCCCAGCCCCTCCGCAGTGGGTCTGATGCTTCTCCAAAGTCTCTGACCTACAGCATGTTCGTACTGTAACTGTGCAGAGCGCGGCGCTTTGATCCTTTTATTGCTATCCACAGCATCAAAACCCAAGTCTATTATACATCACCTCGGTGCCCCCAGTTAAGGGAGACTACCGGGCACCAACTGCACTTCATTCTGCTGGAGGCCTGTAGAGATGTTCCGAAGTTCCAGATATCCCACTGCACGCATGAAATCCTGCACAAATATGAAGAGATCCCTACATATGGGGATAACACCAGGACTAGAAAGTTTGTATAACCCAGAAAAAGAGCAAACATCCTACTTTTGCTCCCCAAAAGCTAGAAGCATGTGCTGTTTTTCACTAAGAACATCTATTTTGCTCATCTTCAATCACCAAATACATAAAGAAATCCTGATCTTTTTGACTGCTAAGATAGCACCGAGAGTTTTTCTGTATCTTCTTCTTGCTGCTTTTAAGGCAACATCTTTAAGAGCTTCTGAGAAGTATCATAACGAAATACATTAAGTATTAGCCAAACTGCATTAGTTAATGTTATGTAAATGTATGAATATAAATATTAACCAAACTAGACCCTGAATTTCAAAGCTAGTTACAGGCCTCAATGCGGAAGATGATCACACAATTGTATTTTTCTTTTAGGGACAGAGTCTGCTCGTATTTTCCAGGTTATGCTTGCTGTTTACTGATATTAAAGACTGTCCAAACCAGCAGCTATTTACCTTGCCGCTATGATCAAGATGGAGCAATTTCCTCTTCACATTTGGCTTGGGCCTCTCCCTTTTTATTTTAAAATTTCATTCATTGATCTGCACGAACTTTTCAGCAAAGCCAGGACTTCAGCAGCAAACTCCACGTGCTCAGGAAATGATGGAGAATTGCTGTGGACATGCTACCTCGATGAAGGTACAGAAACGGCAGCTGCAGCACCAGGAACTTTTAGTTTGTGGTTAGGAAATATTTGTAGTAATAACGCATTACACTGGGTTTGAAAATAAGTATATGCTCCTCAAATACACTGACTTGCCTACTGCAAATTCAGGCAGTAAAATCCCTTTTATTTAAGGATATACGTATTTCCTCAGTAGTCCACAAGAAAGCAGGAGAATCAACCACAACATGTTGTTTTAAACAAGGTCCATTTGGATCAACATTCATCTCCTGCAGTTAATATAGTGCTGAGCATTGATATGACTATTTCAAAAGGGATTTTTATACAAACGCTCCTTTTCCAACTGGTGTAATTTTATCATAAATACTTTTTCCAGGCAGGCCATGTTTGGTATCAGCCTTGACTACTTTTTTTTTTTTTTTTTTGCCAAGTTTACATTAGACCGTTTAGTGCAGAAATATTCACTGCAGTGCCTCTGGTATGCAAGGGATACTCAGCTCTGTATTTCCCTCTCATCCCACACAGCTGCTGTAGTTAAACAGCTTAGCCAGTGCCTAAATATAGAGATGGGCTAGATGCAGGCTAGCTGTCTGATGATCGTTCAGGCTGTTAAGACTTTGCATGTAGAAAGCTAATTGGAAGATGGGGTAGAAGATTATTTAGCACCTTGGCTCAGGAAAAAGGACCCAGCTGATTCACAGCCTGGAGGTCCTACTGAATGCACCCAGAGCATCCGAGTGTCACCACCTGTTTTTTCTCCCGTTTATACTTAGCTAGAACGTTCGACAATACCCTTCAGACACAAATCACTACAGTCATTCATATATTTGACAATGAAGATCTTGAATGACTGGGACATGCTCTGGCTGCCACTGTTCGAGCAGACCACCTGGACACTTAACACACATCTCTCCGTGTCATCCCACCTCTGTTCCACATCACCTTCCAAATTACATCCATCAGTTCAAAGGGCTCTTTTTTTGACAAGGACTTGGCAGTTGTGGCCCAAGAAGAACCTCCGTTCCTACACAGACACATCACGTCCTGCACCTAAGAAGGGGATCTGGCAGCTAAGGGAGGCCCTGCATTGGCATTCTTGAGGATGAACCTTGCTTTTAGACCACATTACTTCTACAGGCACATCACTGAAGGCAGCAATTTTTATACTTTCTCCAAAACAATTTCATTAAGAATAAAGGAAATGAATGAACACATTAGATTCACTATCTGAATGATGTGAAGCTCACTTTAACTGATGTGTTTTCAGTCTTTCAAGCAGGCATGCACTTGGAGCAGTAGGTAGACACTTAAATAATTAAGTATGAGGTTAAATCAAATGCAATTCAATCCATTTGCTTTAAAAGTCTCTGCTGAAAGATTAATGGTTACCACACTCATACATGTGAATATCAAATCACTCTGATACTTGCAGGATGTCATAAGCTTTCCCCACTTTTAAATTATCTTAAAATTGTATAGGACTGGCCAATGATACACCAATAAAATTCAATGATGCAGCAAAGTCTCTGGTAGAGCCATGCTGGGAAGGGTTCTCTGGAGGAAGGAAAGCTTTCCACGGGGCTGCTACTCATTCATGGTTCCCTTTCCATTGCAAGTCATTCAGGTCTACTTTAGTCCAGCCTAGTTTGCTTCTTTTTGCATGTCTTTCCATTTGTTCTCTCTATACGTACAGCATGCAACATTGCTGAACTCAGACAATGCAGAAAACTTCAGAAGAAATCCTATTTTCCCCCTAGTCTGATCTACTTCAAACATAAAAGTATAAAAATTCTAGAATTTAGAATTAACAGCAATACACAGAATTCCACAGTGCACTGGATGTTAATTGCTTTTAAAAACCTTTGCCAGCCCACCTCATTTGCTCAGAGGTGTGCCTCATTTGCGTATGACGGGAAAAACAGAATACACACCAAAAAGATTTGTGGCATTTTAATCTGAGTTTATATTGCTGAGGCTTTTGCAAACTTCAAAAGGAAGAATATCTGTTCTTTTGGAAAGAAAAAACTTGTAACCACTTTCTAACACAATAATGCAATCCGAGATTTATTTCTGTCAATGCCAGTTAATCACTCATTTCGCCAGATCTCCATACACACTAAATACCTGTGGATACTGTCTTTCCAGCACAAGTTTCTTGTTTTGGCTGACCCAGCACACTTTGTTGGACACAGTGTTTCTCTGCAGGATTAGCATGCAAAAAAACACCACCTGCAAAAGTGCTTCAGTCAGTTATAAATAGATTCCAGCAAGAAAGAAAGAAAGAAAAAAAAAGACAATATAAAACATTAACTTTCAGTTAGTGCATTAAGAAAGCTACTGCTTCTTGCTCTTTGCCATCTTTCTATCCTCAAAAAAATGTTTTAAAATCTAAAATATTGCATGCTAATAACAAGGCAATAGTTGAATAGAGGAGTAAAGCTGGTTGATGTGGTAAATAGATGGGATGCTTTAGCTTGAGTGGCATGGCAAATAGTCAACAGCACCAAAACAACAAGCTCAGAAAAATGAAGTTTCTGTAACTTTACTGAGATTTTTAAACATAAAGGGCTAAATCCTATGCTCACTGACACTCTCCATAGTCTTACACAAATTAGAAGTACTGCAGTCATTCTAGAAAACAGATTGTGGCCTTCATAGAGTCATAGAATCGTTAGGGTTGGAAAAGACCTTCAATGATCATCTTTGATCATCTGGTCCAACCATCGCCCTACACACCTGCAAGATGGGAGGTTGGTAGGAAAGCCCACACATCAGGAGAGCCCAACACAAAATATTCTGTAAGAATCAACATTCAGTTGTTTCTCTTTGCCAAATATTGACCATTTGGGTAGAAAGTTCCATTATGTGTTTTTGCCTCAAATACTTTATTAAAATTCATTTTAACAGAAAATGTCAGCCATCCCCAGGTACGACAACATTTAAACAAAAAAATCTAGTAATATTGTATTAGAGAAAGACCTTACATTTGACACAACAATGTCTCATCTTTCCAAAAAGTTGCTCAAATTCAGCCCAAGTTGCAAGCTGTTGGCATAGGTTCAATAGATACTCCAAGCACTAACTTCTCCAATCACTCCTTTTTATTGAACACGGTCCTGCTTCAGGCTGATGTTTTTTGTTTTTTTTTTTTTCCTAAAGCTATCGCTTTGGGCCCAAACCCCAAAGCTGTAAACAAAGAAATGGTCTCTCTCTCATTAGCTCTTAATTACTGGGCTCACACAGTGTGAAAGAAACTAGAATCTAGAGAGGGGCAGCAGGAAAAGGAGAAGACACCTAGAAATAAGATTTGGAAGGCGTCTAGGGCAAGGATTCAGACTGTGGTAGGGAATTTTAAGCAGGCATAAATGGGTAAGGAACATTACTGTTACATGTGATTTGGAGAGGAGAAGCATTTAAACCACGGGGATAATCTTGTATCTTCTATTTCTCATCTTTTAGTGCTTGATTTTTAATGAGTCATATAATTACGTCTACATAGGAGGCCTTTTATGCAATTTAAAATAAATTAGAAAAATAAACAACCTAAGTGTTCTAACACAAGGCTGGAAAACCACGGTACATCATTCACACAAGAACTAAGACACAGAATGTACAAACACATCCAGAAAACGTGTCCTGGCATACCAGAGGAGGAGCAGGATGAAAAGAGCTTGTTATAATTCCGGAAGGGGAAATGAGACCTCTTAGGGCTATATATAATTATTTTTGGTTTTAGCTTCCATATAGTTTGCTAGTTGTGCACTAAGCATTTTGCCATTTAGAAAGGCCTTCTTTGCCTTAAACTCTGCAGAGTTTATTATTTTCCAAATGTGTTTCAGTGTATTTCAAGAAATTCAAAGAGTAGTGGGACACTGCCTGGATTCCTTACGTAGTCTGCAAAAGACTCTCCTGAGCAGAAGAGAGTGTTTCGGCAATAAAGTTGCAAAATAAAAACATTTTCTGCCATTAACTTCATTAACGTGGACATTCAACATTTTTCAAATGTGGGAATAAGCTAAATTGATTTTTGGCATAAACAGTGGTAGTCATGTTGGAGAGAGTTCACGCAGTGATCCAAGAACATGGGTTCATATTTAGGGAAGTTCTCTGGTTTCCTAATTCTTTTTTTTTTTTTTTCTCCTGACAGAGATCCTTGTTGCACTAGCAACCACATCTCAATAAATGCCAGCGTTTATACAGATCTACTTTTCACTAAATTAATACCTGACATAATTTATACAAAAAAAAAAAAAAACAATGGAGAAAAAAAACAGTAATCCATTCTGTATTCCCAGAACTGTTTTCCTTTGTGTTTGAATGTACACATAGGAGTTGATTCATGATTTACGATTTCTTTCTGCCAATAGTCTCACCAGCATCTTGGCCCCTGTGCCCCTGTCCTTAAAGAAAAGTGTAATGTGAAACAATAACTATGCAGAGCAGATCTGTTAACCAAAAGTTAACAAAACAAAAAATTATTGCATCTAGATGCTGTATTAGCAGCATTAGCTACAATACTAATAAAATTGTTTTGCATTTCTCATAGATTGGGATTTCTCACTGTAGGGTTTAAATGTTCTGTAGCAGTCTTGAACATTTACCTCCTTGTATTATTCCAACACAGGTAACTTTTGAAGTTTCCAGAAAAAAATTATTTCTGTGGGGAACAGCTAGTGGCCAACAGCTTTAAGGTAAACTTTGGGTTTTAATGTAAACTGATAACCCACATCTGGGTAAATCAATATTCAAAACCAACATCTTATGCAAAACGTGGGCAAAAACATAACTCTTATGTTATAAGAGGTTATATATAACATAACCTCTTATAACACAACCTCTTATAAAAAAGCCATTTATGTGCTACTGTATAAAGGCATAAAGTCTTGAAGTCTTTCCTAAATGTCAGAACATGCGTAAGAGATTTTTAAACACTCATTTGCAATTAATTTTAAACCCATTTATTAACAGATCCGTATGTTCTTTTAACACCTCTCATACTGTGTTTGGGAAATTCAAAAGCTTTCCTTTAAATATATATATATATTTTTGAAGACAGTCTTTCAATTTATAAGTTACAAATTTCATACTACGGTTAACATAATTAATAGATTTTAAATAGATCACAATATTTTCGTATCGAGAAAGCAAAACTGGCATGAAGAGCTAGACGTAAAGCATCTGTTATTTGTAGTAACTTTATCTGCAGCTGACAAAATCACACATACCTTTTTCTCTCTAACGCAATAAACATTTGGGAATATGTTTGTGTGGATAAATCTACAGGCTGCAATGGCACCCAGCCTCCTCAACCACAAACAAACAAAAACCAACATCAAAGATGAAAACATTGGGTCTTCTCTGTTCAGGAAGAGAACACCTTTTCTGAGAGACGCTGTTACATACACACATCATCAGAGAGAACGTGTTTCTGCTTCTATATGCCTCTAAACTAGTTTCAGCAATCAACCACGTCAAATCTAGAGTGTGTTATCCAGCAACCATGCTGCTCTGCCATGGCTCAGTTAAGCAGAAAAGAAATGATTTTGGTAGCAATGTAGTTCCAGTGTTTTATCTTTGTTCTTTTTGCCCAGTCCTGACATTCATTGGAGGACAGCATCCCTGTAGATCTGCGAAGCCAGGCTTCAGCGATGCAACCACCTGGGGGAACTAATTGTTCAGAAAACAGATAAAGGGAGGGGATGCAATCACTGGTCATAAGCTCGTAATTCATAAACTTTCAATCGCATTGTCAATATTAATTAGGTACTCTAAGAGGTGGGCACAAACATTAGTTTCAGAAGACTAACTGGATTTTTAAGTATTACTTTCCGGGAGAACTGCCAGTTGAAATTTCTTTAAGTGAGCATCAAGAAAGATACAGATCTAAACAGTAACTCTCATTGTGAAGTTGATGTCAGATGTAAAACACTTTTTAAAATGACTATCAAGATGTCATCAACCTGGACAAAATCCCGATATGCCTAATGTAAGTGGTAATTAATAGACTTTATTTTTTCGTTAAGTGCAGGAAACATTAATGACCAGGTCTGATTAAAAAAAAAAAAAATGAAGACAGAATTCTTCAGAAACTATGCAGCACAAAAAGGTCAAGTAAAACCATTTTATGAATAAGTCATGAAACATCTTCTGACTAGACTCTTGCTCCCCTTTCAAATAAGCTGAGACCAGAATCAATCTTCTTCCTGGGAGCTCAACCCTTCTCCTTTCCTTCCATGGGACAGAAAACACCTACTTCTCACTTCAGAAAGGGAATTAAGATTCTTATTCCACAAACTTTTCTTTTTTCTTCCCAAATACTGATGTTCAAATGGAGAGCACAAGAGTGAAACTGTTACTTGTTTTTTAGAATATCGATTTTTATGTGAAAATCAAGAGCCTTTATTTCTGAACACAGCCCTGTGTAAGACAATACAAATGATTAATTCATCACTTTGTCTTATGGATTGCCTGTAGAGCAAATTTATATTACTTGAGACATTAAAAGACTCTGTATGGTGATTTTTGTATTACAAACCTTGAAAAGTGATCCCTCACTGAAGATGATCAGACAGGGCCCGGTCTATTTTCAATCTTAGAGTATGAACAGATATTATTCCCCCAATAAATGACCAGAATACAGCACACGTTGTTAAACTTAGATGATTGTTGGAGAGTAGATTCTGAGGGATTTTGTAAACAGTTCATTTCTTTTGAAAATGACCCAAGTCGTTTAACTTTCTGAATGGGGAATCTCTATCTAAGGGTTTTATTTGGTCTAGGTGTCTCCTCTCTTCTTTTTTCACAATCAAAATTTCTCCAGAAAATGACTCCATGGCTTTGGCTGAAATATGCAAAACATTGCCACCTGTAATCAATTCCACTAATCTTTATTTTTGTTTTAATCTTTAGAGGATCTCCAGCATCCTTTAAACAGATATGGACTGTTGGTGTTTTTTCCAAAGACAAACAAGCCCTGTAAATGAAACAAATGAAACAAACATCTTCAGGAAGACAATGGTCCTCCTTACTAAGACATTACTTTCCATGACACAACATTATCACTTGCTGGAGAACCTGAATGTGGCTAGGCCTTTCTGGCAGTAGGATGTAGCAGAAAATATTTAAATTACAGCACCTGAATGCTTTTTTTTTTTTAATCCCTATGTGCGTAATTCAAATTGCAATGCTTATTGGCATTACTATGCTTGCCCATCCTAGCTCCTGTGTTCCGTAAGGCAGCACTGCTTCTCAACAGCCCACGCTGGCCGTGCTGTAAAGGAATTGACTGAATACATTGCTAAGTGATACTGCATCAGCAAGCACTTCTGATGGGTGCCACCACGCAATGGAATTAAAACAGGAGCGTAGTCACTAGGCACGTGGGCCAAAGATGACATCCTTCGTTTGCTGTGTGCAGAAATTTCAAATTAAATTCCAAACTGAGTTCATGCTTAGCTGGAGCGCTCACTGTGCTGAAAGCAACGAGACGGCTCTTGTGAACAAAAGGAGACCCTGGTTGCACGAGTCCAGCAGAGGGAGTCGGACGTAACACAAAGCTGCCTCCATCCATCCCTAGAGCTGGGCAAGTCTGTGGTAAGCACTGAAGTTTATCTGAGCCAGTGGGGTCTCATTTATTTATTTATTTAGGTGTGCAACTCATGTCAAGTAGCCTAGGGTGATTTTCACACCTGTAGGCTAGCCTACAGATCTAATTATTTTGTGACACTAAATATGGCTCCTACCGAAATTCCCAAATGTCACGAAATCGTAACACACAGCCTTTATACAGCCTTCCAAAGTGCTATTAGCATGGCAAAATATTCTACTGTGCCAACCTTTCACCCAATGTTTTGTATAACCTTGAGAACGTGTGAAAATCTTAACACAAAGCTTTAAGGCTTCCTGTTAAAATTAAACTATCTTCTGTAGCTGTGGCATAATTCTTCTGCAAAATTGTTTTTTAAAATAGTTTAGTGATTGTTTTAATCTAGTTAATACCCTAAATATGTCCATGTTACCAAATACACCAGTAAATATAACAGATGCTCTTTTTTTTCCACAGACATCTGAAAATAAACCACTGTTACCAACATATTTCTCATCCCAAGCAATACCCTGAAATCTTTGTCAAACTTCCTTGCTTTCATCATTACTCAGCTCATCACACAAACCATCTGCATAAATAAAGATGTAAGCATCTGCTGTATGGCAAATGGTCTCAGGGGCAGATGTTTTTATCCTTGCATTCATGTCACTGGCTTGGATACATTATTTGAACAGATGTACACAATCTGAAAGTGTCGTGTCCCACAGTGAAATGTCTCCAACTGCTTTCTATCAAAGTGCATAAATGCTATTTGCACCTGCATTTATGTTAATGATAAAAAGGCAGCAGGGGTTCCAGCAAAGTGAGAGTTGATGCTAAGAAAACACATTTACATGGTTAATTGAAGTTTGAGATCTTCTAGCACCAAAAGACCATACTAACACTGATATATGGTGTATTAACCTATACAATGACTTCTTAATATGACGATTTTTTTAATTAAAATAAACATATATAAGGAGCAAAACTCCATCAGCCTGTTAGCACACTCTTTCGATGTATGCTAAAAAAAGAAGTATTAAATCAGTTCCTAGATAAACCAGGACATCCTTCATTTTGCATAATTGTACAATATACACAATTATTTCACATTAGAATCATTTGGAAGCATTTTATAAATCTGACAGAGCCATTCATCCAAAGGTATTTTAGTCCTCTAAGGCTCAGTAGTATTTTGTGTCATTACAGAGCAAGATAAAAAAAACCCAGCACTTGCTCAAAAGCAAACATCAACATGGGTGTGAATGACAGGATACATTTCCATGATGATTGAAATTTTTTCCTAGCAATTATGAGATCTCAGAAGTTAAATATTTATCATTACTCAGAAAAGTGCATCTCTTTGTACTGTTTCACTTGATCATTGTGTACATGATCAGCACCTTATACAATTATTTTAAGTGGAGAAAAATCCATGTCCTGAAGGGGTGCGTATCAAATGACAGAACTCCTGCTATTACATGACAAATGGCAGCAGCGAAGGGTTTCTGTTGTCACTCAAAGAACTTGCACTAACCATTACTTCCACACTCAACTGAAAAATAACAAGCACTCACGGTACAGAAAGGCTGACAAAAACGCTATCCTGAATGTAACTAACTGATGGATAGGTTCTACTTCCAACGCCATTCATTTTCAAACCTTTTATTTGTAAGAAATGTACCGATGTTATTGTTGCACATAAATCATTATAAATTGTTAATAGCCTCAATATTTTCAGTGTCATAACATTTAAAGAAGCAAGGGTTATGCTTCATACAAGGACAAAAAGAGTGATAGTCACAGAATACAAAAAATATACTAATATATTTGTAAACATCATAATTTCACAGTGATATAGCTCTTGGTTAGGATCTGGTTACAATTTCCAACACAACCCTCCACTTCCAAAGTTTAGAACATGGCTCTTATCATTCACTCTGGGTGAAAGTGTGTAACAGGATACTAACTTGAGTGGGTTTTTCTTTAAAAATGGATACATTTCTTTCTTTAAAAACCTTGGAGCATATGATTCATCAGTTTCAAGTATGCCAACGGCTTCACAGCCCATAATTCTCCTGTTTTTAGAAATTACTTCAACATATAGATAGCTTTCAGATTGACTACATGGGTCGAATTCCTTTTATTTATAGGAAGAATAAAGCTTTTAAGTATTAGAACCAAGGATTTCAGTCACAAACACATGGTTGTAGACCCTGCACCGCAGGCTGGATGGCTTTACATGACAGTACGTACTGCTTCCCTTGAAAGAATGGTCCCATTAGGCACAGGACTACATCAGAGATCAATTCACATGGCATCCTCCTGCAGTAGCTTCCTCAGAATTATTGCATTATCATAAAAATGCTCAGCCTTTGCGAAACAGGTAAAGTATTAGTATTCATGGTAGCAAAAGCTCAAGCTTCCAGATAAGTAATATAGAGTGTTTGTCTTCATTAACGTAAGTACTAACAATGGAAACCTAACTGACAGCCTAAAATGGTTCTGAAGGGTCAATTAGAGCTGACGTCGTAAACACCAAACATTCACTTACATTTAAGAATCATCATAAAAATGACATCAAGTTAAAAATCATACTTAAACATCAGCACCGCAACAAAGAACAACTGGGAAAGGAAATTATAGTTATGGCCAAGCATTTATTTAGAGGCTTGGGTATATACAGTATATTGCAGTGCAAATATCCTCATTAGTAACACGGGAAAAATTCCAGACACTAACTCTACTGAAATGTGCATTGACAGAAGGTGACTTCTGAAGAGACAAAACAGAAGAAACGTAGTTGAAAACAAGAAATAATATTAAGGATAGGAATGCTGGAGAAAATACATTTAGAATCTAAAAATAAGTTAATCATTTCTTGTGTGTGTTAATTTCAAAGCGTAACTTGCACGTAGATCTGAGCCCCCACCGTATGAGGGTGAAATGTAACAATGACTTTCAAACATATAAGGATAAAAAATCATAATAAAACCTGAATAATTAATTCTGCTCAAACGAGAACCAGAGTTATATAGTTAAAGTTTCAACTAGAGGTAGTAACAACAATTAGAAATGTTTTAAAGAACACAACAATCTTAGTTACTGAAATCTTTTGGTGAGTATAGTGGTTAAGTATTACTTATAACAGCTTAGTCCTAAGAGCTTTGGTTTCTTAAACCCAAATTAGGGTAGAACAGTAGGCATCACTTATGCCTATTATTTAGGCATTTATTAACGATGATATTATTCTTCCAAATTTTGAATGACAAATGTCTAATTTCTCAAAAGGAATAGGAAGTATACAATACCTGCAGAAAAAGTTAACGGATTCTGCATTATGCCCTCTAATAGATATGACAGCATTCCTGGAAAGAAGAAATAGAGATACTTAGAAGTTCTGATACATTTTTAGAAACTAAAGAAAATTACTAATATTAAAGTATGAACAAACTCGCAAAAAATAATACATTTTGGAGAAAACCTTTTTTTTGGGGGGGGGTCACGCTTCAGTTTGAATAAAGAGAGAACAAATCACATGCAAGGAGGTTATTTATTTTCATATATATAAGTTTTGGGGTTTATTTAAATGTTATTTAGAGAACTTTACTATAGTGATAAATAAAGAAAATCTTGCATTCTTACTTTGAGGTCTCAAACTAGTTTTAAAAGCACTGCAGAAAGAAGAAAACTTACCACTGTAAGGAAAACTTTTTATGTAAGTAACGCAGTCATTCTTTTGCATTTTCATACTTTTTCTTAACTCAATTTAGTGCTTGAGGAAGGCGTCAACAACTCAATTAATTCTGACACAGAAAGTACATTTCTGGATCAATAAAAAACAACAACAACAAAAAAAACCTCCTTGAATGCCCTAGCAAGTATGTTTTGAACTTGGTGTGAAAGGCCAATATTTGCAGGTGATAATTTAGCTTACTTTCATTTCATTCATTTACCCAATGAAAAGTTCAACATTATACCAGGCGTTGTACGACATCCAAGCCATACACAGCATAATCAGAGAAAACAGTGAAGAAAACACAAATCCATTGCATAACAACACTGAAAAGTAGTTTGATTAATTTAGTATACAGTTTTTTTCTTACTGCTCTCTTTTTTTCAAGAAGATTGACAATTTGTTAGTTACTGTTAGCATCCTGTAATACACAATGCAAATGTAATGTTACCACATATGATATTTCAAGCAATAATGCTACATGTTTACCTTGCAGATCAAGTATCTTAGAGCGATCCAACTTTATTCAAATGGTGGTAATTTCTGGGTATTAGCAGCTTCTGCTGAAGCGCAGGGATCACGAGCAGTGACTCATTTCCACACTAATCTTTTGATTATCCAACTGAACAAAGTAAACTTAGAACCTGCGTGTTCAGCAGTTCTGTACTAATTCAGCCTTCAGTTTAATTTTCAAAATATATTTAAGTCAATATACAAACTAAGACTGCATTTATGTGCCATTAATACCTTTTTCTTCAACAATTCTGTTCCGTACTCTCAAAAAGTAAATAGCCAGCTACTGCTATATAATAATACATTTTCAAATGCTAAGCTGTTTCATTCATAAAACTGGAAAGCAAAAACAAAAAGTTCCCTTAAAAAGAAATCAGTATTTTTTGCCCCTTGAGAAGGGCTGGGTTCCTGTAAAAATAGGACAATGGAATCAGTTTTCAAAAATTATGTGTCAGTATGGATCCCAGTATGCCTATACCTCATGCAAACCACACCTGAATTTTAAACCAAGTGTTTCTCTGAACTATTTACATGCAGTCTCCATATTTTAAGCTTGGGTACAGCTAATTGAGGTTTCTTGTAACTCAACACCCCTGTTAAAGCAGAAGAGGAGATGCCATGAATTCTAACATTAAAACACATTCTGAAGATGCACAGACAATGTAGGACTAAGCAACTATTTACCTTCAAATATCATAGAGTGGCTTGGGTTGGAAGGGACATTAAAGCCCATCCAGTTGCAAGCCACGGGCAGGGACACCTCCCACCAGCCCAGGTTGCCCAAAGCCCCATCCAGCCTGGCCTTGAACACCTCCAGGGATGGGGCATCCACAGCTTCTCTGGGCAGCCTGGGCCAGGGCCTCACCACCCTCTGAGTAACATCTTACTGCAAGGATTCCCTGTATCAGACTGATAAGCAGAATCTTCCATGGATGCTACAATGAATGTTAGGTTGCATTTGTGAAGCAAACATTACACTGCCACCTCTCTTGAGGTTGACATTGGTTCTTATCATGATAAGTCATACATGGTTTTTGACATAATAGAGCATTAGATGAAACGACCACTCAGTCACTTAAGAGTTGGCTATTTCTTTCCAGTGTGATTTAACAGTCAAGAATGAAAGACGTAAGGTAGTATAATTACAATGTAAAATTATGTTATTATCTACTTAGATTTTCTTTGTGTTAAAATGTTCTGGCTTTTGGAACAGCTGTGTCATGGTTTGGTTTGACTGAACATGACTAGCTTGTTAGAGACAGGAGTCACAGAGTACACAACTCCAGTCCTCCTGGTGCACTTGGAGGCTTTGGAAAGTTAGCAGACAAGTCCACTGACACAGACGGAGCTCAAAAAGCTTTGGGGTTTGTTTGGGTCAAGGACTTCCTACCAGCACACATCCCTACCATTTCCCGTGAGCAGACCCAGCTGTGAGGCCGAGCCGTTTGCTTATTTTGCTGGCCAATCTAACAGCCAGCACGATCCTACACAAAGGACTTCCCAGATGCGCACTCAAGAGCACCCTTTTGAGCATAAGTACAAAAAGGTTGTTTTGGGTTAAGTACAAGAGTAAATACCAATTCTGAAGCAATTACCAAACAAAAATAAGACTTGATGATGTTTCCTTACTACCACGCAAACGTTGAGGTTCCCAGCCGTAGACAATGGCTCTGTAGGCAACAGTGAAGTACAGAAGAGGCAAAACCAAGGCTGTTTCTAGGAAGCCCAATACCAAAGCATGAAAGAAAACAGTGTGGCTGCTCCGAGGAGACCTCTCACACAGCAAACAGGTGATGCTCTTTGGTGCCCGCATCCTCTGTGCTGAGACACATGCAAAGAAGCTCCTGCCCGTCGGCCAGCATCTCCTGGCAGCGGCTCTGCTGCTGTGTGGGAGCAGGAGGAGCAGGAGGCTCAGCGGGCCTCTGTCCGTGGTGCTTAAGCCGCCAGCCTCTCCTCGGGCAGATGCAGCACACAAAGGGTTCGGCTCGGCTGAACGCAGTTTGGTGCCCTGCTACCACTGGCACAAGCTCCTCTGAACCTGCAGGAATGAACAGGCCACACCGATGGAAACTGGGAATGGGAAAACACTTCCAGGGACCAGCGTGGATTTTACATGATTACATTATTTTTTATTTTTTGAACCAGCAGGGATACTGTCTTTCTGATCACCGACTAACGCTAGCCTGGCAACCAGTCCCACCAGAACTGTACTATAAATACATAAATGTTCCTCTCTTATTGACAGATTCTGACATTTTTCAGTCAGGTTGCAAAATGTTTAACAGCTACTCAATGTCTAAACACATCTGGCGGTGCCCTACATGTATCCTGCTGTATCAAAACGCTCTGGAATTCTGAATGAACAGTTCAGAAATTTCAGGACACAACATCTGTACAGCTACCGATACCTGGCCTCAGCAGCACTTTTTTTCATTTGCTTACAAGTCTACTTCTTGGCAATGCCTACCTCCCCTACAAAACGTGTTGATGTTCAAAAAAAGAGCTAACCTTTAAAAACAAACTTAACTGAATTTTGTATCTATTTTACACTTGTACGTCCCAAACAGGTTGTATGTTGGCCACTGCTTCAGGATATCCCATTGCTTTTAGGGAATAATGAAATTAAAATCATTCTTACAGTCTTCCTTGTTTATTAATGGACTTTGTAGCACTCATACGATTCCAATACCAGTTCTTTTCAAATACAGAAGATGGTATTGAGTATTTCTATGTGGCATTACCATCAATTTTACCCCACCTAACCCCATGATAAAGCTTAAAACTCTATATAATCTTAAAATCTGTTTTGTTCAGCTTGTAACCCTACAATAGGACAATATAAAAATAATCTAACTGCAGCACTCCAAAGCTCAACATTGTTCCTTTGGAATCTGCTGTTGATGGGTCAGAGATAAAAATCTACTACCAAGATTTTCAAGCAAGCGGAGTTAAAGTTGGACAGAATTGAAAAATTTCATGCCACAAAATAAGCTATCAAGCTACTTACTACTCCTTACGTTACCATAGAAAGAAAAGATAGATACCAGAAGAAACAAAAATATCAAATAAACTGAAAAAAAAATCTTAGAACTACCCTGTAAATTGGTCTTTAACAATCAAAGGAAACAGAGCGTGTAATAATTTAAAAGTAATCTTCACAGAAAGATACCCACAGGTCTTTTATATGAAATTGGTGTCCTGATAGACACACTGGCTCTGAATATCAGGTGAACCCAATTAACCTAATTTGATGCTTGTCCATACTGGGACATTTATTTTAGATGTTACACAAAATCCTTTAGGATACTAGAGAGAAAATGATAAATAGGCTGTAAAGGTTATGACATTAATTTTACTGTCATTCTCATGCTTTAAGCAGGCATCAAAACTAAAAATCTCATCCTCTGGGAAGGGCGAACTATCTGAAAGTAATTACAGTACTTATTATCATAACAGTATTAAACTAAACCGCTGTGACCCTAACTGAATTTATTTTTGGTACCTTTTGTTAAAAGAACAAAGCTTCTCGATGATGACTATACCTTCTGATGCACTGAACATTAGTTCAGGTACCAGAAGAAAGCATTAACTCAAATCTTATAATTTCATATTAAGCTTAATTACATGCCTAGTTTTTAAATTAAAATTTGTAAAGAAGCATTAGTTAAATAATATTATGTAATTTCATTTCAGAAGGAAAACATTTAGCCAAAAAGAAAAAATTAAATATTTAACACAGTTTAGAAAACATGTTCTCCTAACAGAAGCCCATGAAATGTCAAATTATATTTAAAAAGCAATTTCATTCACTTCATTTTTCACACCTGTTCTTTCCCATACTGTGCCATCTTGTAAATGACAGTTCCATTCAATCATTATTTCCCAAAATTTAGAAACTTTTTAAAAACCAAGTTCCCCAGAAAGTATGAATTAGTAATAGCTTCCAGGAAATCTAGCAACATCTGTAAGTATTTAAAGGTTGAGTTAGACCTGAAGTAAGATTAAACCATTGAAGCTATGAAATATGACAAAAACACTGAGGAAATAAAAATGACACACACAACACTTGACTGGTGTAACACACAAAGGCATTTGTTCAAGCAACTGTTTTTGCCAAAAGCCTACAGTGCTTGGCTACTTTATAAATCAAATGCAAGGCATTAAGCCAATTTGTTTAAAAGAGAAAAAAGGCCAAAATGACAATAGCTAGGCAATAGGTTATTTGCATTTCTGAAAACCTGCAAAAACGTTCTGCATTTCACTATCCAAGTCTTCATCACAGAAGTCTTACCTGTTCTTATTCAAAATTTTCTATTTTAATTGTATTTTCACAACAGGATTTCATCCTACATCAGTAGCTCCTCATCCTACAACTATATATCCAAAGAGATATACACACACTAAACCAGCAGCTTTCTTACAAGAGAAATTACACACTGCTTATGTTTCCATACCTAGGTAATTAATCAGGGAGAAATGTGTGTCTGTAGCAGAATTCTTTTGGCTGGGACCATTCGGTGACTTCAGCAGACAGCCAAAAAGAAACAGAAGCCTCGCTGCAACTGGTCATTTTTCCCAGTATGAACCCATCAGAACTTAATCCCAGGCTATTTTTAAATTTTTGATCATCCTGTATGATGGGCCAGTCTGAGCACGTTTCCGCAACTTCAAGCCTTACATGCACCGAATGCCTGGACAAAAATTCTTCCCTTCATACCCTGTTACGTGGTCTATATAATGGTTTTCTGGCACGCCTGCATTATGCCCATCTGTCAGGGTGGAACCGTGCCTACACAACAGGTTCCATGCTACTTTCCATAATATCGTGTTGATAATAAAAGCTTACTTACAAAACGATATAGTGCATCTTCAGCTTTCAGCTACATCTTTTGGCTTAAAAGAAAAAGCAAAGGAAGGTGACTGTTTTCCTTGAGGAGAGAAATCTTTTCAAACCAACTTCTTATTCAGTTGCACGAATAAAGACTAGCGCATACACTGCTAGCAACAAGGACACTCCACGATTTTATTTAATTTCTTATTTTTTACTTTTTTTTTTTTTTTTTTCTGTTGCACACAGCTCAGCAGTCACAATAATTCTTATTTTGCAATTATAACCATCTCCAAGAGATCAAGCTCAGGGACCTGAGAAAAATTATTACAAAAGTTTCTCAAAAGTGTGCATGGGAGATGATAGCAATATCAATTGGATGAAGGAGCAATATCGGTTCATCATTTTATGAAATGTGGACAGGATAAATTGTAGCTGAACAGTCTTTACGCCTGCAAATTACCCAATTTTCCATTTGAAAAAACAGCATTCTGAAAAATTAAAAAGAGCAAAGAACAGCAAGGTTGCTATTATGCCTAGCATGAGACGATTCATAGCACATCAAGAAATAACACTTCGTTTTCCTCTAAATTTCCACAGATTGCCATTTTATATTTTCATTAGTAAATAACTTCTCAGTAGTATTGCTTTGGACACTGTGAACTGCAGTCCGTATGTAGAGAGACACCTTTGCTATAATGGTCTATTATAAAGTTAAGGCTTCTGATTTTAAAGTAGCCCTGGATCTTACTGTTATGGAAATAAATATGAAGTGATGAATCAGTAAAACCCAGTACACTTTGTTCTTGATTCTGAGGGCAGCTGGAAACAATAGTCTTGGAAAAACTCATTTTTGCAAGCTAGTACATGAAATCTACACTGTCAGTATTTCTAACAATTTACATTCAAATTATCATTATTATTATTTTTTTTAATCAAGAGAGACAAACATCCAACACTCTTACTTGGCCATGAGTACTCCAGAGTTTACTTTAAAATTCAAACTGACCAATTCCTTCTTCTACCGCTTCCCCATGTATTATCCTAGCCCTTAACTAAGTATCCATTTATTGTTTTGGTCCAAATCTCGAAGATGTTTTGCCACAGTTCTCAATAATGCAGTTTCCTGAGACAGGATCTATGTATCTTACTGTTCTGTTATTAATTTGTAACATCACTCATGGTGGAACTGCAGTACACCGTTATGATTTTTCAGCCACAAACACAGCTTGCAATGACTGATTAAACTGTGAGACTTTTTGACTTTATTGATGTTCACAATTAACGACTGTTTTGGCCAAATAAGCACAGAACACATCATTTATTTTCCACTATGCATTTGTTGCAGTACCTGTGCTTTCTTTTCAGATAAACAATATGACAACTGCTAAACAGGGACTGCGTTACAGTTGGGGCACAGCTTATGCAGGGCCAGACAAACACGTGTCATTGTGCACAGAGGTACTCACAGGATGATCCGGGCTGGTAGGGCCCCAGTAGGTCACCCAGTCCGGCTCCCTGCTCAAGGCAGGGTCAACGCCGAGCTTAGGGCTTTGTCCCGATGAGTCTTGCAAACCTCCAGCTCAACAGGTGCCTTTCAGAAATTAAATGACATTTACCACTTGACCACAAAGGATGACCTGAAAATTACGGTAACACTGAGCCTATGTATGTAAGGCAGATTGTTCCAGCAATTCCTGCTCCAAGGCTTTCACCATGCTTCAGAATTAGTTGTAAAGGTACTCAAAAATTCCTGCATTTTACTCTATGTTGAAGGATTAAATAGAATTTGACTTTATGAGCGGCAAAGAAAAAAGAAACTTCCTAATAGTGCCACGTACACTTTTTTTTATTTACTGGTACACTAAAGATAAACAGGTTATTTCAAAGAGCAGAACGAGGTTAATGTGGGATGGAAGTACTAACAAAAATAATTAAAGATTACTAAATGCAAGAAAGAGAAACTGAACCGCATACTACTTTCTTGACATCCCTCTCCCCCCCCTCCTACTCAGTTTTGACAGTGGAGGAATAAACTATTACTGGTAGCTTAGTAACACTTTGCTGGTGAAACTTCAGTTTTAGGATGTTGTTAATTATCAATTTAGATTACAGAAATAACCAACCAGGGCTGTAACTTTCAGCATTACAGAGCAAGGAGAGCAAGTGTTGTGTTTCCTTAATTTGGAAGTCCTCGCATATTTTGGAAATATTTGATACCTCAGAACACACTTGCACAGTCAAAACATATTTGAATGTCCCGGATAGCAAAGCCATAAAATTCCATTAATAGCTCATGGATTAAGACCTGAGCATAGCACATTCACCTGCACAATCTGACTGACTGGAGCTTGAAACATGTCGTGAAAGTCTTAGCAGAATCACAGCTGGCCCTCAAATTAGGCAAGACTCAATGAGAAATGATCAATCCCTACTCACTTCTATTTTGACTGTGGTATTTTGGGTCCTTTGGACACCGCCCTGAATCCTGAATATAACTTGTTGTGCCATTCAGGAAGGATTCTGTACAGGGGGTTTGTTAGTTACAGTCTGGAGATGTTGTCAGTGCTCTCCTTAGAGGACAGATAACCTACAGCTGGCAAAAATTCAGCAAGCAAAACACCACTCCTAACTTTGCAAGGTGAAATGCCTTTGCAATTCTGACTCAAATAATGGAGTTATTTCTGTCTTGACAGCTCCGGAGCTGAATAGTACTAACTTCTGCCATGGCGTTACGTGTATATAAAGTGAGCATCATTTACAGTTGTTTCTGTAAGAATTTTCATTACAGAGTTTCTTTAAAAAAAAAAATCAGCTAGACAGCTTCATTCAGAGAGCTACCTTCCCTACCTGACAAAATCATTTATAATGTTTATGCAACAGCCCTCACACAGAAAATACAGTGCATTTTTTAAGAGCAACTTCAGCGTGTCTCATTTGCAGACTTACACAAAACAAGCGTTCCAGAGCCAGGAAAAAAAGAAAAATAGAAGGAGCATACCATTATGTGGAAAAGAAGACAAATGGAGAAGGCAAACCTGGGTCTGATCAGGCAACAGATTACCTATGCCAAGGTGGTATGTACATATCCTCAGTATAGTAAAATTCAAATTGCCTAGCAGCTAATCACTTTTAAGAGGTTTGGTTGTTTTAGATTCCACAAAAAAAAAGGGCTCACATTGTCACCAAATCAGGCTACATTCTACACACAAAGTCTTATAGTCTTACTCAACAAAAAAGCTCTTACTAAAAATTATGTAGTGGAAAATTTGGTTTCTTATTTTGAAAGAGGCACAGCTGGTCCTTGCAGATTGCACTGCACTGAAAAACAACCCAGGTAACTGATCAGGTGTTGTGCTAAGAACTGCTTCAACTGCTTTCATGCTACGCTGATTCCACCCCAAACTTTGTCTACAACATTGCTAACCTAGACTGTGCTTCGGGGTTAAGGACCTTTTTTCTGGAGAGCTGAGTGCCTCCTAGACTTTAACACCACGCACTTCCAAAACCAGAGATGCAAACATAATAGCTGGATTTTCTTAATGATGCAGAACATTAAAAATGCTGTCCAACCAGGAATTATAACCTATGTTTCCCAAAAGCCATTCACCAGACAGAAGGACTTAACAGACCACACCTGATGACTGGCACAAGCAACTTAATGCTATGTGAATTCCCCCTTTTCTGTTCCCTCAGCATATTATAAGCCATTCTGCATTGGAAGAATCCAACATTAAGTTTACAAGTTAGAACAAGCGCAGTGAAACACCCTCTCAAAACTCACGGTTCCAAATTTAATGCAAAATTAAAAGTTCTGTTGTATATAAATTCTGTGATAAGCACCTGTTGTGGGTTAATCCCAGTAGGCACTCACTTCCTCCTCAGCTGGTAGGACCGAGTAAGAGGAAAGGAAGAATGAAAGCAAGAAAACTTCTGGGTTGAGATAAAAAACGTTTAATAACTGAAGAAGTGGAATGAGAAGGATACAGAGCAACACAAGGGATGCAAAAGCAATCACTCGCCACCTCCTATGGGTAGATTGACACCCAGCCAGTTCCTGAGCAGATGGCAGCCTCCCTAAGCTCCCCTTTTTCCCCCTTTTCATTGCTCAGCATGATGTTACATGGCATGGAGTATCTCTCTGCCCAGTTTGGGTCATCTGCCCAGTTGTGTCCTCTCCACTCAACTCACTGGGAGGGCAGTGTGAGAAACAGAGAAGGCCTTGATGCGAAAACACGGCTGTGTTGGCAGCGTTGTTTTGGTCACAGATCTAAACCACAGCCCCGTACAGGCTGCTCTGAAGAAACTTAACTCCATCCCAGCTGGATCCAGTATAGCATTAAAGAGAACTGCATAATTCGTTGTTGTTGAAAAAAGAATTCCCAACACACAATCGATTTATTCAAAGTTATTGTGCAAATTTAAGGGCCAGTTCAACTTCCACAGCTGAAGAACTGGATACAGCTGCAGAACCCTGGTGAAGATCGCAGCAAGAGAAGCAACCTCCCAGCTGTGTGCTGAGCACAGCAGAGGCAGCAGCACCCTCCCTCCCTGCTGCTGTACCCAAACTGCTACATACAGACCCCAGCAGCGAAGTTCAGCTGTTCTGCCTGCATTCTTTGCCCAAACAGTCATATCCATCTCCTCTTCTGGGAAAGGACGCATCACTTTGAAGGATTCTCCTGCCTGGAACGTCCCAATTCCCTCGTTTCAAGCTCCCAAAGGTCTGATCCGACTAACAAAGCAACTGCTGGGCCAAAGGGTATTGGTGTTTATTTTTAGAGCATGAAACAGTATATTTTTTAGACAACGTGGTATAAACACATTTCCTAATACCAACTGGAAAATCTTCCACGGGCTTATCCAGATTTGGTGATATTGTGTGATTGATTAGCATCCAGGAGCAGCACAGAACAGCATCTGTTGTTCAAACTGGTGAGCCACTTGCCATGTAGCGTGCAGGACAAGCTTTGCAGACAAAGCATAAGCATGTTCTATGAATTACTTAAATATCTTTTTTGTGGGATTTATAACCGTCTGTCAGCACGTTACTTACTGATGAAACATGCCTGCTCATTACAAAAAACCTTCACGCAGATAAACACGCAAAAGAATAAATTGAATTCTAACCTGCCCTGCTTCACTGCCTTCATTCACTTATCTTATGTTGATTTTATTGTGCAAATAGTCCTCGCCAATATCATTTTCATTTCTGTATCTGTCGCCCTGTTTGTTGATTGAAAAACTTTAAAGGCACAAAGCTTCAAAGGCTATGGGACGTCCTTAATGAAGTGTCCCCCAAACATGCTCATGGATGAAAAAAAAAAAGGGAAATAAACATGTCAAAATTATTCCTGGCCACCGTCCAACAACCAGCTGTGGTGCTCAGACTGTGCTAACCCTGGGAACATTCTTCTTTCTCTACGGGCCTCCAGTTCTGCCTTCTGTTCCTAAGGATATTTGTATTCCTAACTCACTCAGTTTAATCTCAAACTAAGCAAGACCAAGCTGAATTAGTACTTCAAGAGAAAAACAATTAAGTATGACCAAGATTTTAAAGCAACTAGGCTTTTGTGGTGTGACAACCAGTACATTTTCAACCATTTCTCACAAAAATCATGCTATCTGTGGAACACCTACACTACCTAAATCATTTCAAGTTATGAAACTGAACTTCCACCTGCTTAGGGTAATTTTTTATTTTTTTATTTTTGGATAGTGGGACTAACTTCCATGTTATGGCCAAATTCAAACTTTGATAGTGATGTTCAGTGTCTCTAAGTTTCATCAGAGTTTAAAGTATCATACAGATATTTCTTAGATATAATCATAGAAAGGGGTGGGTTGGAAGGGACCTTAAAGATCATCCAATTCCACCCTACCCCCTGTCATCCCTGGAGGTGTTCAAGGCCAGGCTGGATGTGGCTTCGAGCAACCTGCTCTGGTGGGAAGAGTCCTTGCCAGGGCATGGGCTTTAGAATTATGTGATCTTTAAGGTCCCTCCCTTCCAACCCAAACCATTCCATGAGTCTTTGAAAGACAGTTATGTTTTGTTTTTTTTCCAGTGTTCCGAGATTCTCCCATCAATGGACATGGCATCTTCTGAACCAGGGTAAATCCAAGGGAACTGGCAGAGTCTGTCACTCATTTTGAGCATCAGTGGTAAATTATTCCTTAATTTTATTATAGCTTGATAAAACCAAACACACCTTTTCTCCTCACTAAACACACTCAGATTAGGCCCAGTTCCTCCCTGCAGCACAACCACGTGCATCACTTGGCGTCCAGCACATTGGAGACATCTAAATCAAAGTTTTCTTTAAGTTAAACCACTAGAAGATCAACATGCACACACAGAGAGGACCACACAAGATCAACATCACAAGTGCACGTCCTTTAACTTGTCTTCTGCACAAAAAGCAGGATGTAATTTGCATAGGACTCTGAAACCACATTCTTTTCAAAGAAAATTCATCACTACTGAGGGAATTTTCTACTGCAAAGATGAAATTTCTAATAGAGAGCCACATCCAGTACAATCTAAGCACTTCACAAAGTAAATTCAAAACAGGTTACCTTTAATTACAATACAAC